TCCATTTCTTCAAAACATCCCCATGACTTGGCAACATTTTGTGGATAATTGAAGGACATCTCACCTCCCTCCACTGGGGGTCACTGTGTATTTACATAGAAGGTTTATGAGATTTTTCTGTTTCTTTTGGGTAAATAGTCAATTCCAGATTGTTTTCATTCCCTATTTTTTTTTCCTCTAGGGGATGACATAACTTACTTTTTGGAGAGGATTCAATATACGTTGGCGTGAGTTGAAGGGCAGATGTTTCTACTTCTTTCCCTTGCTTTCAGTCCTATGCTGGGGTCTACTGCCATACAGTCCTCTGCCTCTTGCCCACTTGTACCTGGTGCCAGAATACCTATGTCCCCCTCTACAGTCCTTCTGCCTTGTCTAAGGTCACTTTTCATCCTGATTACCCCATCTGCAAACTGCTGCCTTGTGCCTTTCCAAAGGGCACAGAAAACTTGAAAACTCATCCTTGCTTCTCCAAAATCATGAGAGTTTGGGGGATAGGATGTCGGTGGCCGTCTCTGATGAAACCCCTCTAAAGCTGTGGCTCTATGGCTCGATGACGAGGACTTTGGACAGGAATGTGTGCACTGAAAGGATGTACCTTCTCGGCTTGCATGCCCTCAGACTTCAGAGAAAGCCTGCTCCTCCGTTCCGAGAGTCCTACCAAAGCTAACGGCGCTCTGCCTGTACCCCATCCAGAGTTTGGCTGGGCTGAAGCTAAGGCACAATGTGCCATCTCGGTCACCCTTGGTTGTCCCTTCCCCTCAGATAATACTCTCCCCACTGACTTATAAAACTTCATCTCCTTGTGTGTGGGAAAATACTCTTATCGCAGCATGCATATTTCCCCCAACTTTATCCTCAAGACTCCCTGTTCCTTAGTCTCCAGAGACCTAACCTTTTGTAGCTCAAAAATCCTTTGTGATTCAAAAAGTTTGGCTCTTATAAGGCTTGGCTTTCAAAATGCCTGGTTCATAGGAGTTTTAACAGATCTCTCAGGCACTGAATTGATTTCCTCTTTCTCAGCTGCGTTTGCCAGTCCCTCCCACCTCCCCCACCCTCAGGGGATGAAAGCCATTTACTTCAAGGGTGGGAACTGGGGCTGTGACCAGAAGCGTAGGAGAAAGAAAACAATGGTAAGCGTTACACACCATACAGTGATGCTGGCTCATAAGTCTTATGAGTAATATCATATTTTTTTAAATTAAATAACCTGACAAACAAAACTCTGGCCTTTGCTAGTCTATGGCTAACAGCTCAATCCCCCATTCATAAACTAGACTTTTTAGCACCTAAGTGGGCTCTGTGATTAAATGTAAGATGTGTGTATATATTTGAGGGTCTTTTCAAGAGCAGACTGGTAAGAACACTTTCACTTCTCAATCATGTCCTTGCTTTTCTAATTTGGATAGAAAAATGCCTTAAGGTTATAGCCAGCCAAAAGAGTGTAATTTAATCACCTGCTACTGTCTAGAGTTCAGCCAGAAAGGGCAGTGTGCGGGAAGGCAGTTTCACCCTCGACCACTGACACTCCCATTGGGGGTAGAAATTGGATGGGTCTCTCCACGGTGGGGCAGGAGATGAGCGATGACTTACTTCACTGCCCTCAGGGAAGAAACACGCCAGGTCCAATCAGGAGGCCTGGCTTGTCTCCCCTGTGCAGATGATGTTCACACAAAATGGGGCTCCGTCCCCCCAAAAAATATCACCCATTGAGTCAGCCTATGGGGAAAGTGATCCAGCCATCAAACCCTGTAAGCAGTACCCATTGGTTTTATGTCTTTAAGTAATGAATCACTTTAATTGCTATGCCCAGGAAATTCCATCCTGAAATTTCTCCCTGTGTTTTCTTTCAACCGAAAGCATATCTTTTTCCAGTCCATTAATCAGGAAGTTTTTTTTACTTGATGGAGGATCTAAATGTCCCCATCATTTATGCCCCCCAAATATTAATACAATTTCATTAGTTATACTAGGAACTCCCCAATGAGGCAAAAAGACAATGTATTTCCAAGTCAAGACATCCAATTTCACTGAGATGCTATACTGGCTTCCCTCTCTGTCCTTTAATGGACCAATCAGAATGTGTGATGCCCATCAATATATCTTTGTTGACTACTCTTCTTACACTGAAGAAGCTAAAAAGAAAAACCCTGGCTGTTGGCTCTAATATTTATTCATCATAGTAAAAAGATTAAAAAAGAAGAAGAAGAAGAAGAAAAGAAAATGAAGATACCCTTGCAAGTCTTGCTATGGAATATCGTTTTCAATAGTCATAAAATAGTTTATGTACAGACTAGAACCTCATGTTGGAAAACATATCAGTCGAAATTTCCACCTGTACATACGGTGGAGCCAGAGATCCAGAGATGAGGAAGAGATCTATTAAAGGGTTCATAAAAGGAACCACCAACCTGGAAGCTTCAGGAAAGAAGGTCCACAGCCCCTACTTCCACAAGCAAGCTCAGGAAACTCACGCAAAACTATGACAAAACAGTATTATCATCCATCTTCCTTTAGAAGGTTGTCTGTGCTCCCCAGTTTCTAACTCTGAGCTCCCCCACACCGTGGACCTGCCTCCTTCATTTGTATATCAGCAGAACTTACTACTGGTACCTCCATGAAGGATATGCTCAAAATATTTGTTGAATGCAATTTATCTCTCCTACTGATAAAGGTATTAACATCTTCACAGAGTTGGGACTATTTGAAATGTTTCTCAAACAAATACTGGATTTTCAAAATCTCTAACTTTAAGTAAAAGTTTGCCATTGTAAATTATGTGGCTGGGTGCTTTATTGAGACACTTTCTCTGTTTCTGCAGTTTCCTCAAGACTGGAAGCAAAACAGCAGGCAGCAAGAACTTGCAATTTCCAAAGTGAGGTCGAGTCCCCTACACAGACCCTGCATAGGGTGTGGCCAAAAACAGAAGTTTTGACCTTCAGCACCTCACCCACCTTGAGAGTATAAAAGAATTGAGGTTGAAGAAGTCAGAAAGTCAGACAGATAACTGATTTGCTGCCAATTATCTGGAGGACGAAAGGCCTCAGGGACTGCAGGGAGAGCCTAGAGGAGGCCCCTGCTGCTCAGGAACACAATAGAACTGTCTGACTCTTGCCTGGGAGAAAGCTCTCAGGAGAGGCTAGTTGCATTGGCTTGTGGCTCAGTACAGAGGTTTACAGTAGCCAGACTTCCTAGAAGTGTTTGCTTTTCTAGGGCCAAAGAACCTACGCAAGGACATTGATTGGCCTGTGGTCTCTATACATGGGATCCTGTCTCATGGTATTTCTACCAGGGATGTAAGCTGACCAGAAAGAGGCTGAGGGCAGATGGTAAGATGCCAGCTGCCGGGGATGCCCTGCCCTTGCAGTGGAGGGTCAGGGAAAGGGGCTCAATCAGGACCAGCTGGGGAACGCATGGGCCCCATTGAAAAATGAAAATGAAGGATCTCTTGTTTGAATATTAAAAATGTCAAGATGGTGAGGACGGAGCATTAATCCGAGCCTGAGGTCCCTCCAAAGGTGTGTTCCTGAGCGTCAGGGGCCTCCTGCAGACAGGGCTGCTACCCAAGAGGCTGGCCCTGGGAGACCCAGAGTGAAGTCTCACAGCTGACAAGGGTCTCCAAAATTTCCCTCAAGAGACATAGGCCAATGGAAGCTTCTGCCACAACCAGAGAAAATCAATGCCAGATTACAGAGATGTCCGTGAATGAAGATATCTGCTCTTTACCTTTCTTTCTTCTCCTTTTCAACCATCCAGGGGTCAGAGGTAGCCTAGTGAGTGGGAAGATGTGCAGGGAAATCGACCTAAATATTTGTGACCATTTCACCACTTTTTCCCACTGCAGGAGTTGAGTGGGAAACAGAAAAAAGCAGGGGAAAAGTTTAACTTTACACAAAGCTTGGAATTTTAAGTATGATACAGGATGGACATTTGAATTCCTAAAATGAGATAATTGGGGGAGGGTGGAATAAAAATAACTTGAAAACATTTTTTAACATCTGAGAGATCATGGGACTTGTCCAAAATTTTATCCAAGGTGGTGGTGATAAAGAAGCAGTGATGGGAAAGAATAAAGGTATTTTATGACTGTGCCTGAAAGAATTCTGCAAAGAATTCATGCCCCACAAACATGAATGGACATTGAGATATGTTTACATAAACCTAAAAGATTACTTGAGTTGAAGAAATTGAACTTATGAATTAACTGTGCAATGTCTCATAATTATATCAGATATAAGCCACAGCAAAAATAGAGCTCATAAAAGAAACAACCAAAAAGAACGTATGTTTAAAATACTTTTGGTTGTTCCACTGAGAGAAACTCTCTGAGAATCTGAACTATGTACATGGGGGATAATAATTCTAGACCAAGGAAGAAGTACCAAACAAGGCATTTTGACACTGTTATATTTGAAAGTTATAATGAAATCATCTGTAATGAGATATGCTTTTACAGATGAGAAATATGCTTTTGCTGCCCTCAAGTGGTTTCAACTTGCCACTGCAACATCTCTAACCATTTTAAAACTTGAGTATTCCAAGCAAATTCACATAGGTTATTTAACAAAGGAAATCTGAAATGATCACCTTTAATTCTAAATATTTTCTAATAATCAAATAACAAAATGGGCCGAGTAGCTTTATGTAGTTGTGCCCTCTCCACAGGTATGCAAAATTGTCGGGTTTTGTATTTTTTTTAATTTATCCATAACTCCTTTACAAGATCTAAGTCACCTGATCTGTGTTTGGGTAGGGACAGAGTTTGGAGATAACTTCATCTTCCAAGTGAAGCATTGAAAACAGTCTCATTTCAAACACAAACTCAGAGTGTGTTCTTCACCATCTCAGTCCTGTTTGCCGCCTTTCCCTGCCCCCTCAGAAGATGCTCACTGCTCCTTCCCTTGATGCTAGGTCTTTGCAGAACTGGCTGGTCTGCTCACCACAGTGCTGCCTTGGCTTCTTTTTGGCTCCATCTGTTGTCACTGAGCCCTGGAGTTTCAGCCATGCCCGCCCCCACCCCTGCCCCACTGCCCCTGATTCAGAAGTTGCTTTCAGCTTCTGCCCCTGGAGCATTTATGCTTGACCCTGGTAGGACTGTCCCAGCTCTGCTGGTTCTCAGCCGCCTTCTTCATGCCCCCCAAGGGAGCACAGGAAATGTCTCTGTGCTCTCTGATCACAGGAGATCAGAGCCCTCTTTGATCTGGAAACTCCTAGTCCTCAAATTTTAATTGCATCAGAATCTCCTGGAAGATTTGTATGGGAAAGGAACAAACTTTACCCTCAGGATTTTTCTGGATTGCCTAATAATCAAACAGACATGAGGCATATTGGCAGGAGAACAAATCAAATCCAATGCATACATATGTATGGAAACCTGGCACACCTAAGAGAGTCAGACACCCCACATGCAGGAGAGAATCAGAGATTGAAAGGCGGATCCGGTATATAAGACACTCTGCACTAGGATGAAGTAAGGTGGCGGGGGTAGGGGGGTGGGCAGGGGGGTGGGTTTCAAAGGGTCATTGAAGGCTGGTACGAAGAGCAGAGATTTAGTAAATAGAAGTTTGCCCTGCTATATAGATAGGTCAAAAGAGGTTATCTCTAATAACAGCTTATTATGAGTAGGCTTCCTAATTTATATTCTTCTGGGTAGCTGGGGTGGGGAAGCAGAAGTTTCTCTTGAGCCTATGACTAAAGTTGGTTGCCTCTAGCGAAAAGTAATCTGCATACCACTGAGGCACATCTTGGAGTGACTCATTCCAGACCCTCTGCTTGTTAAACGCAGATGTCTAGGCCCACCCCACCCTGAGTTTCCAATCCAGTAGTCTTGGGGTGCTTTCCAAAGAGTTGCATTTCTACCAGGTTCTCAGATGACGCTGATGCTGTTGGTCCCAGGACCACCGTTTACAAACCACTAGCCTAAACCAGTACTTTCCCCAGCTGTTCACATTAAGGTACACTTAAGAAACAAAACAAAACAAAACAAAACAAAACAAAACAAAACAAAAAAAGCACAGTACAATGTATACCTCGCATAGGGGTCAACCTAAGCGGTAGGCCTTTGTTATGGAGAATGCTCTGGGTGTGTTTTGTATTACTTATTCTTCCTCTCCCCCTGTCAGAACCATAGGGATCTTTCTCTGATCTTCATCTTGAGAACCTGGTGGGGATCCTAGAGTATCCTGGGGGGCGACATGTCATGGAGGAGCGCGCGGCGTGGACACTCCTGGATCTGAGTGTTACTGTCCTGAGCTGAGGAGCAAGCAGGGCCCTGAAGCCCGCAGAGCCCATCCCAGGGTTGTCACGGATGGGGGAGTAAACACAAGTGGTCATAAACACTTCTTTGTTTGCCAGGAAAGGGGTCACGGCTCTTGCCTTTAGGGGAGAAAAGGTTCCAAACCCGTTTCCAAAGGCTTTTATTGAGAACCATTCGCACAGGGGTTTACAGCAAAGCTCATCAATCAATGTCAAAAGGCTATGTTTACAGAAAACAGAGAGATCGTGGATAACAATTGGAGGCACGCTAGAGATCTGCCTCAGGTCAGGGTCTATGAATAATGTGAGTTTCCTTCCCAATCTGAGCTGGTTATCATAGCTTTTGAGGGAAGAACAAAGCATGCTTAGAGGAACTTACTTCTAGGCCTGATTATCCTCAGGAACTGTCCAGTTTAGGGCTGAACCTGCCTTTAGTATTGTTTTAAGCCTGAGTCAGGCGGGCAGGGCAGAGCCACCAAGAGACAAGGAGACTTTGTTCCATAGAATGAGGACCCCAGGCCATGTCCAGACCGAGCTGAGGGGTGCGGGCCTTTTTGCCCTTCCGCCATGTCCTCCATGCCCATGTCTGCTACCCATACTGATAAGGGCAAGATGACTTGGGAGGAGCAGCCTAGCCAGAGACCCCTCCCAGGTTAACTGTTAATCATTGCTTATCTGTTCCTGTAGCCCGTTTTCACATCCCTTCCCCCGCCTGGGTAGCACATCAATCTCATCAATCTCCCACCTGAATGCTAATCCCTTCCCCCACCTGGGAAGCCCATCCGTTTCCTGCCCGGAATGCTAGGGCTTATAAACCCCTATCTAACCCCGATTCGGGGCTCAGAATTTGGAGACTGCCTCCTCTGAGCCCGCGCGTGTGAATAAAGGCTTACTCCATTCCCTGAATCGTGTCTTGAGTCTGGCTTTCCGTAACAATACCAGCCAGGTCTGTCTTAGGTCCTCTCTCCTTGTAAGAGAACTTACCTGTCATCAACAAGCGACCATCGCAGGGCCAAGCACGGTGATGTGAGGGACAGGTTTTGTCTCCTCACTGGCCTATTTTCCCCAGGCCTCCTTGATTATTTCCAGACTTGGGGCCCTCTTGCCTGTTGGTGAGGCTACAGTCCCTGAAACCATGCGGGGCGTTTCCCAACACCAGAGGTAAAAACCATGGCAGTATTGGGGCCTAAGACTACTGGCCCCAGGACTTTCTCATTCTCAAGCAGCCCACAATCAGCCTTCAGGAATTTGTTAAAATTACTATTTTGGTGTTCCCAGCAGCTTATGACTCTAGTGACTTCTGCTCCAGTTCAGATGCACAGCTGTGACTCTGGATTCAACTGTGTAGGATTTTTCTATTGCTACTGTAGCAACTTGCCACAGACATGAGGTCTTACAACAACACAAATGTATTTTCTTGCAATTATGCAGGACAGATATTTGAATGGGTCTCACTGGGTTGAAATCACTGAGTCCAACAGGGCTACATTTTTTTCTGGATGCTCTCTGGGAAAGTCTTTTCCTTTGTGTTTTTCTACTTTCTAGGGCCTACCTGATTCCTTGATGGTAGAGCGATTTCTGCATCTTTCAACTATTAACATAGGGCTCAGTAATTTTTACAATGCCACGTCTATGATTCCCTTCTCTTCCCTCTTCCATTTGTAAAGCCCCCTGTGATTACATTGGGTGTAACAGATAATCTCCCTGTTTCAACGTCAGTTGATTAGCAACAATAATTCCATCTGTGACCTTAATTTCCCATGGCAGATCCCAGGGATTAGGATGTCGACTTCATTGGGCAGCCATTGTTTTGCCCACCAGCATCTGTCTCTCAATAATTCAGTGGTGGTTTGCCCTACAACCTCAGTTCTCTGATGAGTCTAAAAATAGTTTCTGATCTGTTTGATCAGTTTTCTCTCATCCCAAGGACAGAAGAGATGACTTCTAACTTCTTTACCTGCCAGAGCTAACATCAGAAATGCTGAGTACTTTTTCATAGTAAATCTAGGGTTCTTAAATAGCAGTAACTGAATCCCTTACATCCTTTGTCTGCAGGATTAGACACAGGAGATTCAAGAGGGAGAATGTGTAAAGAAGTTAATCTCTCCATTATAAACACTTTGCTTTAAATTTAAAGAATTTAGAGCAAGGAACAGAATATAAAAGATGTACATTTCACAGACAGTCTTCACGTATTCTTTTGAAAGTTAGAGGGCAATTGCAGCAGACACAGAGCAGACTATTCCTGAATTATAATTGGGAAGCTATGCCTTGTATCATTTTGGGCACATTTTGCACTTCAACCTAAATGTATATCTTTTTTCAATTAATTAGGTCTGTCTGGAAGTTTTTAAAAACCTGCAGCACATTATTCTGGGGTGATTAAACTATGTGTGCAAGTCTGCATCTCACTTAATCTACCTTCTACCCATTGTCACAAAAGTATCTTTACATGAAACTCTAAAAGCTAAGGGTTTAATATAAATCTGTTAGAATAGAAAGACTTGAAAATTACCCACAAACTGATTTCTTAGACATTGTTGGTGGGAGGTACATGATGGAAAACACAATTGCAAAATGACATACAAGTGTGCTAGGAGATTTAGTATAATCTCATTCCAATATTAAGTAAGTGCATTACCTGTCTTTCCATCATTAATCACTAGGATCCACAACTTGATGATCCTTATGTCAATTCTCACATGAATCTCTGCGACAAATGTTGAAGGGCATTTTCATTTTCTTCTAGTAAAAAGTCTCAAGATAACGTCTTCCCTCTCTTGCCTTTCACAGCATAACCACACAGTTGGCTGAGGCCTTAGGAAATGTAACAAGCTGTAAGGCATCCGGTTCCTTACCAGCCTGTATTTCCCATAGATAGCAGCAGGTGCAAACTGACAGCCACAAATAAAGTTTTGTCTGCAGACACATTTTCTTTGGGCCACATCTGTTTTAAAAATTAATCTCTGACATTTAAAAATCAGAAGATTCAAAATTTAAAATTGGGGGCTCTCCATTTTTTTTATTGGAAACATATTCATATTAGTCAACAGAAGACTGATCTGAAGATAAATTCTCTTCCTGGGGAAGAGCCAAGGAAGGCAGAGTGTGGCATGTCTCTTCAGTTGGCAGAGTCCCTACCACTCTATTGTGTTACATGCAGTCTATGCGTCGATGTCCACTGTAGGCCCTTGAGTTTGAACTCCCTGACACTTTGCTCTGCCACTTCAGTGATTGGCTCAGATCATTAACATTTAGAAATCTCTTTATAGTGAACATGAGGATAGAGTTACATAGGAGGGTCTATCCATAGAAATCCCAATATTTATAAACAGCTGAATCTGTTAATCAGAGTTTATAGTCATTGGTCTGCTCTAAAATTTGCAAACCACAGTTGAAAGGAAGTCTTGTAGACAGATCACATCTGACTCATTTTTGTACTATGATTAATTACACTGTAAAAAGTATTTTTTAAAATCCAGACTGGAGACATTTAAGGAGCCTGTAGTGAGAGCAGCAGAATTAAAAGGTAGGCAGGGTGCTGAGCACTGTGAGTTCTCTTTCTCTCACTCTCTCTCAGAGTATCTGCTTCTTAGTACCTTTCTCTTACAAAAGCTTTTTCACTCACTATTCTTTCAATTAAGTCCCCCTTGCAATTTCAACCCTCACATTTCCACATTGCCACCACCCCAGCTTGTGACCATTATCAGCACCACTGGTTGGTTCTCTGAGAAAGAGCTCTGATTGAAAGAGCTCTAACAAGACAACAGGCAGTTTCTGGATTGGTAGCTTCTGGAGAAGGGCATGTCTCGTCCAGCCAGTCACAACCAGTGATATTGTCAGCATCATCATACTCAGCATCACTCCTCTCTTATCATCACAGCCAATATCATTGCCAACATTTATTGAATGCTTACCATGTTCCAGACCATCTGACACACACTATAGACACAATTGATTTAATCATGATAACAACTTGGGAGACAGACACTGGTTTGACCGTGCTTTATGGAAGAGGCCAGTGAGCATGGTTAAGCATGCTCAACGATGACTTGAAGGAGAAGCTTCCCTTTTAATTAGTTGATGGTGAGACAGGCAGTAACAGGCATGTATAAAACAAACTATTTTCCCTATGGGCTTGCAAAATTGGAGATTCACAGAGAATTACGGGGAATCCCTTCATTGAGAAACTACTAAAACTGGTTTGCAATGTGCTTTGCTTAGAGAATTTGTGCATTTCTCTAAATATTTTAAAGGCTGGTACAGTCAGCATTTGGGCCAGAACAAACCCAGGGTGAGATTTTAAGGTCACAGAGCTCTTTCTCTCGCATGCTCCCAGCTCTGTGTCCCTCAGTCCTATGGAACCCCTTTCTCTCTACTCTCTTCTCTCATCACTCTCTGCTGCCACCAGCTTCTCACAGGTGGAGCTGTGAGTTCCCTCCTCTGAAGACTTATTCTCACCTTTGGATTTAGACAACATTGTGAAGATGGGACTTCACAAAGTTGGGCAGTAGTCACGCTGGGGACATACCTGAGAACAAAAGTAAGCTGCTTAATTTGAAACACCTGGATAGTCATAACTGTTGTGCAGACTGGGTGTCTAAAGGGCCTGTGGTAGGTTCCAGGAATAAAGATAGGACCTCGAGGACCAACTGCCACATATAAGTCAAAGGGCATCATGAAGGGTGGTGCAGACACATCTGGGTGGTCTAAGAGGGAGGAACTAAATACTAGGCTGCAAGTAAGAAGCCAGAAAGAGCTTCGGAGAAAAAGAATGTGGAGGGGCACATTTTGCCAAGGGGATGTTGTGTCAACTATCTTATAACCACACTCCTTTGAAGCTGTTGGGATTCCATTTGTACACACCACAGTCACACTTCTCGAGGACAGCTGCATGCTCATGGGACTACTGGCACTCACATGCCCCCAATTTTCTGCCACTAGGTAGTCTCAATGAGCCTCTGTTCCCTGCCTTCTCTCTTCCTTCCCTTCCTTTCCCTTCCCCTTCCTTCCTTCTTCCTTTCTTTCTTCCTTCCTTCCTTTCCTTCCATCCTTCCTCCCCTCCTTCCTTCCTCCCCTCCTTCCTTTCTTCCTTCCTTCCTTTTTTTCTTTTTCTTTCCTTCTTCCTTTCTCTTTCTCTCTCCCCTCATTCCCTCCCTCCCTCCTTTGCTCCCTCCCTCCCTCCCTCCCTCCCTCTCTCTCTCTCTTTCTTTCTTTCTTTCTTTCTTTCTTTCTTTCTTTCTTTCTTTCTTTCTTTCTTTCTTTCTTTCTTTCTATAACAAATATTTATTGAGTCATTACCATGTACCAGGCAATTATCAGCTGTTGGGGACTTAGTGGTGAATAAGACAGTAATATTCTTGACCCCCTAGGAGTTCACAGACAGGAGCTAAATATAGGCAATAAACAAAAGCCCACTGAAATTTCTGTTGCCAACATTTACCTGATGTATTCTTTGGACATCAAGTCAGGCCTGACCAAGCATTCCCCATTAAAACGTAAGTTACCATCTCTGTAAACCTACTGGGTAAGCATCAAGCTAGCTCACACCTTTTTTCTAAATACCTGCTTTCTCCATGGTCCTTTGTGGATTTATGCTTCCTGACAAACTTCTGAGCTATTTTTATACTTAGTGTCTTAATGTTCTTTACTTCCTATCCTAATCAGCCTCCAGAAAATAATGTCAGTCATGTCAGACAAATTTATATTAAGTCAGCCTTAATATAAATTTGAATCATGGTACCCTTTCTCCTGGAGACATGGTCATTTTAATTTTTAGTTTAAAATGTTGAGCAAAATTGGGTTTTCCCTCTAACAAAAAAATTGAAAAGTCAGTACCTAAATGATGTCCATACTAGGGAGAAAGCCTGCCCAAATATGCACCTCCTTCCTTACACGTAAGACTGGCTTTCGTGCAAGGTTTCCTCTGGTTTTAATTAGAAGCCAAGGGTACCTAACACCTTCTAAAAACGCTCAAGGCTAATGCAGAACTCAACTGCCTGCTCCTGATACTCCCAAGCTTCCTTTTCCTAATTCCAGCCATTTGCCAGCAGTTTTCTATTAGAACAGTGTCAGTTTCCAAAAAAGGGAAGACTCGTGTGGCAGCACGGCAGGCCTCTTACGGAGGAGACAGACAGCTGGAAGTCCGTGAGCCATTCCCCTGAGGGGAGAAGGGTCCAAAATAAACTTCAGTGCATAGCTGAAGAGAGCCCGTCTGTCATGCTTCACATTGGAGTTAGGGCAGAGCGCACCGAACCTTTTAAGACCCCATTGACTGGCTGCTGCGGAGGGCAAGCTCATTGTGTGGAAAGAGAATCTCCCGCGGTCGCATTTATTGAGTGTGTCCCTATTCTTAGCACATTTATATTTTATACTCTGTGTAGGGTGGAGACAAGACCTTGCTCTCTTAATGATTAAGGGAGTGTTTCTTAGGTGTTTCAGTCAGACTGAAAGTGCTCAGCTATGTACCAATGGCAACTCAGTCTCTAAAAATAAACTTCGTGTCTGTTACTTACAATGCTGGCTTCATCAAGAGTCTATTTTACAGGGTTTTTCCATGACCAGAAAAAAAGAGGTGTGGTTCTTACTGCAAACATTTTGGAAATCTATTTGACGATTTTGTAGGACCCAGAAAGCGCCCAAGGATTACTCATGTATTACCGACTTCGGAGTAACTGAAAAGATCGCAGTGATTGTTTTTTAACTCCCTACAGATGTTGGAAAATTACAAGTCTAGTGCTTTGTAAAAATATCACTCTACCTATGCCTGGCTCCTTTATTTTAATGAATGGAATTCTTTAAAGACTTGAGATCGTGCATGTTTGGTTTCTCTAGGCAATTATTAAGTTTAAATGATTGTGCAAAACTCCAGAAAATTGAAACCGAGCTGCTATATTTCATGAGCGTCTATCAAAAGGAAACTAGGTGGGGTTTTTTTTCCTTTCTCTACTTTTATTGCCCCTTTTGTTCTCCTTATATTTTATTGAAGGGTGGATAATGATGTTTATTTGGGGGAGGTGGATAGAAGAGAACAGGGCAAACTTTCGCTTATTTCAATATTTTCTTGGAAGATCAGATTCTGTGAAGCAAGACGTACTACAAGTGAAACAGCCTACATTCCTCGGGTTGCCTTTGTCACATTTTATGCATGGCAAAAAGACACCCAGAAAGATAAACTTATTCACAAAAGTGACAAACCAATTTGGAAAAGAGCAAGGACTAGGGTGTATGTTCTCCAGCCTTCTGCCACTGCTCCTGCTACTTAGAAAGAACAGTCACGGAAGAGAGACTTTTATAACAAAAATGTAGCCAATTTCTTTCCATCTTTACATGATACATATGATTTATTAGCAGAGCCTTTGGAAAGATTACATAAAGGAAGAAGAACCGAACCTACTATCTGAAAACAAGGGGAGGAAAAATCCACATATTACTTGTAATATTTTGCTGATTGTATGGGGAAAATTGTAGAGGGGCTAGAATAGATATGCAGGACTTATTGGCAGTTGAGGAATTAAGCTGGCACCCTGCTGGTAAACTCTGAGCCAAAGTAAGTGTCTCCATTGGATATTCCCAGACCCAAAAAGCAAAACTTACTTTCTCTATTTACGTCATATAACTATCACAGTTCCTCATTGAAAGTGATTAGAAGTAACTCTGGATGAGTTAAATCCAAAAGGAATTTTTCCAGAAGGTTATTGGATACTCACAGAATTTTCAGAAATGCTAAGATGTTAGGCTAAGAAAACAAGCAAGAAGCAAAAAAGACTGAAGACCAGGAACACAGCTAAAATTGTGCCTCAGGAAGCATTGGGATGGACATTATGGCCACAGCTGCAAAATGCCAGAAGTTGCCCTGCCAATCTTGGACATTGCCTGCCACCAGCACGTTTGCCCATGCTGACTCTGGAACCCTTGTCTCTGCTATATGAGCCAGGACAAACGTCTCCTTCATCCCTGCATCTCTGCACCACTCACTCCAGACTGGACTTAGTGGCTGCAAGTGTCTGACCAGTAACATGAACATTAAATACCTTACCGGAGCTGCTGCAAAAGCTGTTCAAAAGCAAGCACCTGCCATTTCTTACTTTTCTGGAGGTCGAGAGTAATGGGTAATTCCTTACAACACTCCTGGTTTAAGAAGGAATGGAGTGCCCTTGTCAGGCAGCCAACATCACTGATGATACCAGCTTGACAGATATCCAGAGCCAATCATGTCTGTATCATTCTTTTAGAAGGGAAAAAATGGCTGTGATTCAACAAAGTCTACAAAACAAATAGTTAAAATGATAAAGAAGAGAAGGTGCTGCATAACCCCATGAATGTAAACAGTCTTCCCCTACAAAATCTAAGCCAAGCTTACCACTACCTAATTGAATTAGTTTGGCTAGGTCCCTTTATATCTTCGATAGTGTCTCATCATCTTACATTAAGGAAGTTGGACAAAGTGATCTTAATGTCCTTTCTTGTTGTAATAGTCTCTCACTCAAACATGACAGTATCAAAAGAGAGTGGATAGCTTAGTCTTGGGGCCTGGTAAACCAGATCTCAACTGGAAGAAGCAATCATGAGGTTGATGGAAGGTTTATGGAGACAAACAATAAAATCCAAGCTTAAATGTTTTTAAAAAAATATATCCCTCATGCTCCACTTCAAAAAAGGAAATGATTTTTAAAATCCTTCTCAAGGGAAAGCCCTGGCTGATGTGGTTCAATGGGTTGATCGCTGGCCTGCTGACCAAAGGGTTACTGGTTCGATCCCCAGTCAGGGCACATGCCTGGGTTGCAGGCCAGGACCCCAGTAGGGGTCATGCGAGAGGCAACCACACACTGATTTCTCTTCCTCTCTTTCTGCCTCCTGTCCCTTTTCTCTAAAATAAATAAGTAGAATCTTTAATTTTTTTTTCTCAAGGGATAAAATATTTCTATCACTAGCTAGGAAGCAGATAATCATATTCTAGAAGTCAATTGGAGAAGCCAATCTCGATTTGTTGGGGAGGATTTGTTGGTAAGGATTTTTTTGGTAAAGTGAATGCAAGATCACTTAAACCAGGACTATATCTGTTTCTGCACCATCAATATCATCACTACTGTCATTTTTATTGACATCTTTAGCATCATCAGAAGGTTTTGATTTCTAATGCTAACTGGCTAGCAACTTCCTATAACACGAAGCTATTTTTATTATCCCAAGATGCTCTGAAGATGAGACAAAATAAAAATTTCTTGAAAAAAGGATTAAATATTCAGAAGTTACTTTCAGAGAAATTAATAATATATTACACAGTGCCTGGTTATGACAGTAATATTGAAGAGGGTCTTTTTATCTTTCTCATACCTGATTTCTAGTCATCTTCCATTGTTTACTATAGAAGTCCTATGACTTGCAGGAGAACCTAGGTCTGGTAATTGCGTGTATCTATATTTTCATAGAAAGAACATGATAGGGAAGACAAGATTTTGATTTTATCTCTCCTCCAAATCCTGAAATTCTGAGTAGAATTTGCTTCAAAACACAACTTATTGTGGGTCCTACAAAGCAAGGGAAAAAAAAAAAAAGAGGGAAGGAAGCCAGGCTTCATAGTGGGCAAAACAAAGGGAGGGAAAAAAAGATAGCCTTTAATGACAATCCTTTCTACTCAGTCCTTTTGATAAGTAGCCTACCTGGAAGTCACTGAGGAATCTTTCATTATTAGGAGAATAACTTTCACATCTCTGTAGTATCTTTGGAGTTGACTTCTGGACAATGATGTATTTTATAAACAATCTTTGGACAGTATTCTACTTTTAATTTTCTGAGAAAAACTCTGAATCGTACTATCAAAGCATATTTCACTATGACTCTATTTTCTCCAAATGTAAAATTTACAAATTGGAGCAAACAGTCAACATACACAAGATCTCATGTGCCCAAGATCATGCATTAGTATGTTCATTATCAATTTCATAAGACTGCCTATATAAATCAACTTCATAGAAGAAAATCTTGGAATATGGCAGCACAAATTAGAAAATGTTTGCAGAAAATGATTTATAGCATTAAAACATTTGAAAAGATTATACTTGAAGTATAAACATTCTATGGACCACATTATACTCCCTTTTAGACCTTCTCTTGCTAAATATTCTTAAAGGAAGACAGCAAGAAAGAAGTGTGAATGGTCTGTACATCTATGCGAATTGTGAGGCATAAAAGCTAAATAGTTTCAAATAAATTATTACACTTTCTAAATCTTCAGCCCTAGGTTAAGGGAAATAAGAACGCTAAAGGAATTGTTTAAACTTCACTTTATAGTCCAACATTTTAATTTAAAATAATGTATTAAATATTTCAAATCTAAGTAGCAAAGTATTTGGCAATCTAAACTCTAGGCAACCAAAATTTGATTCTAGTATTTCAAAATCTGTCAAATGTAAGTAAAAGCTGTAGTTTCTCTTCCTATATTTTTTTTCTATTCATCTTTGGCATTTAGAGTAGATTCATTAATTATTGGGTGTGGATGTCTGTGGCTTGAGCTTTTCTCCTGAGAAATCAATATTTATTTAATGATTTTTTTTAAAGACAAAATTGTCATCTGTTTTTTTCAGGTTGGTCCTGGTACTTTCCAGTTGTAAAATAAAATCATCTGAGATTCAGGAAGTTCACATGGGTTAAGATTACACAGAGAATTTTTACTTATTTATTTATTTATAACTGAAATTCATACTGGTCAGAGCCTCTAATCATTCTTTTCTCCTAAACATAGGGCTGTTTTATTTTGGAGAGTGACCACTACTGAATTTATGAGTTATTCCAAGGCAAGTCTTAGTATAAGTTTTATTCCTATTAAAACTTAAGGAGGTACCATTAGTTCCCCAATCCCCACTCCACACAATATTATATATTCTAAGTCAGAATTAAGAAGATGAATGAATTTTGCAGTGACAAAATGCATCCTTTGGTCTTTGCAAAATCAAGCTAGTTCATCCTGAGCCAAGATGAAGAATATATTATTTTTCTGATATATTAAGCCAGCTTTTTTCAATTATATTAAAAATACCCTTTAATTAGAAAAACATAAAATTCAACTTTAAAACATTTTGTTTTAAACAGCCAATTCATCTTTAGAAAAGCCCAAGAGAACATAAATAAGGATTATCATCCTTCAT